AATCAAGTTGGAACGCATCCTGGCGACCGAATGAAGGTGTTTTTGAAAAGTTGGAAAAAAGGCGGTCGAAAAGCTGCGCGAGCGAAGTCGTTCAAGGAAAGAAAGGAGGTGTTGTTGAAGTGAGTCGTTTGTTGAAGAGAAGGAAAAGAGATGTTGATGAGATGAGTGTGGTGAGGATGAGAGGGAAAAAGAAGCTGGATGTGCCGGACATCTCGAGCGTTTATATCTTCCTTTTTCGCCTTATGATGTTCTCTCCCTCTTTGGCTGTTGCAAGGTAAGTAAGGTATGACGCCTTTCCATATTGCACAAAGCCTACTCCGTGAATAGATTGGCACGCCTCGCCTTGGAGACAGCTCCTCCCAGGAGCACAGCTGGAGACAACGCGGCGCGGCTCCGCAATCAACCCCGTGGCTCCACGATGTTCTGGGCCCGTCAGGCAATATTCCGCCGCGCTATGATCGAAGGACACGGAGAAAAGCCCCATTGCTGCGGGACCAGACAATGCTTGAACCACTGCTTGCAATCTAGAGAGAACAGCTACAGCCAGCGGCTGGGCCGTGGCATGTACGCTTGCGCGGCTCCTGTGCCGCTGATTGCTGTCACTCCCAGTCGGGCGGTGTCAAGTTGAGTGAGGGTGGTTCCATTTGGCGCGGTTGATCCAGGGATCGGCCCCCGACAAGGAGCGCGTTCGTCAGGGCCCTAGCATCTGAAGTCTGTGAAAATCGATTGGCGTTCCGAGACCGTTTGTTTCGAAACGTCTGGTTTCGAGCATCGCGGTTTGTCGACTGGTGGTGGTGGTAGTGGTGGATGGTGGTGGATGGTGGTGGACTGTGACAGTGTTAGTTCGCCCCCTGTCCCTTGCTGGTCTGGACACGCAAGCCCGCCCACTTCCCGAATTAGGATCCCGGGTAGCGCCCCGAAAGGCTGGTCTCCCGCTGGGGCCAGGGGCGGATGAGCCAACCATTTCAAGGAATGTGGCGAGGGCTTTGTTGATGAAATACTGAATTACTTCTTTTTTTCCATATTGCCTGCATAGCGAAATTGATAGAAAACATCGGACGACGATGGCCGAGTTTTCCCAAAACGGCGTTTTCGGAGTTGTCAAGTTTTGTTAGAGTTCCAGTGCGTGATTGTCGTTGCGTTGACTAACAAACGCGCAGTATGGCGAGCGACGGAAGATCCCATGTAGCCTCCTTGATAATGGAGCCAGCAGATGACGTGGACTTTTTTCGCCCTTTCTCTGGCGCGCGTCTTTCAGCCCAGTTCTGCAAGTTCTGGCGCAGACTCCTGTGCCTGGCGTCTGTCTACTCTTGGAAGAGGGATGGGAACATGTTCGTCACAACAGTTCGGTCGACTTTGTCCCAATTGGGACGGTTGACGTCCTCGAGTGGAAATGGAGAAGGCTCTGGTGGAGTGCAAGTGATGAAACCGTTAGCTCGGACAAGGCAACGTACACCACAATCAACTTGATTCAAGCTCTCCTGCTGCGTCGATCAACCGAAATGGGGGATAAGAAAAACACGGACATGGTTAGAGGTGAGAGTCCACATGCTGGGCCCAATGGCGGGTTTGCACACTTTAGCCTCCTGCACAGAAGCATAATCGACGGCACTCATCACACCATCACGGAGAATATCCTGCCATCAATGGATCGACATATCAAAGTTTATCCATCCAATAGTTCCCAGATTTGTGGGTTCCCATTTGATGATGATGGTCAGTACGGTTGCGTGTAGTACGTGCCAGAACATTCACGATGTATCAGGCTGGAGCTCCGAGAACGGCGTTTTACTTGAATATTACGACATTTTGCGATTTGCTTCTTTTTCCAGAATGCCACCAAACAGATGATTCTCCGCTGTATGAGGCAATATCCAGCGTCTCTCTCGGGATCCCTATTCCGTTCGATCGTCCCTTTCTCATCTCTCCTGCGTATCACCACGTCCCGGGGCATGATATCCCACCACTCTCCCGCGCCATAAACCTGCCAAAAGCTGAAGAAATAAGCTATGTACTGTGATACCATGGAATCTTGAAACAAACTAGGCAAGATGAGATGCTAGTGGTGAAGCTATTTTGATCATCCCAGGTTGATGGATGCATCTTCAGGTTGACGTGGACAGGTCGATCTATACCAAACAAACAAGAACAGGTCTGACCGCTTGCCACCCATCGGTACCCCTGACATCAGACCCTTGGGGTGGTCCTGCAGCTAGTTGAGCTTGTTATGAGATGAGCGACAATTTTTCATGTTTGTTGGCTATCAATATTGCTAAATGCTCGCTGAAATGATTTCGTTTGCAACTCCTGCTCAATCTCGTCTGGCCCATCGTGAAACCAATGTGCTGACAGTAGACACGTGAAAGACATCTCTAGAAGATACCTTGACTACAGCTTGGGAAAGCTCCGCCAGTCCACATCCCACATGGGATTCAAGATGGGCCAGCTCCATTGCGTGTAAGCTCGGCTCCTCGAAGCCGGAGGGAACCCAGCGAACCACAAATCTGGGCCCATCATCATCCCGCTCGAAACAACGGGGTTTCCCCCTGACGCAGCGCATAAGCGCCCTATAGTATTCCAGCCACAGCAGCGTAAGCTTCCCTTAACTCCCCTACCTCTCAGCTGTCAGCGGGTGCTTTTCAGCGGCAGCCCGGCAGGGGAAGCCCAGTAAACGGCCCCCAAGCTTCAATTGGCCACAGCGGCCTCCCCTATCCAACAGCACCCCGCCTCAGTTGTCGGACCGGCCCCACACCCCGGAACGGGGCAGCCGCCGCTCCAGTGAATTTTTTTGGAATTTTTTACTGCTGAGGCTTTCGGCGCGGCGCAGTCCGCAGCCGCAGCCACCTTTTTCTCCCATCCGCCACATCACGCACGCAAGCTCCCTATCCTCACCCACATACCCTTTCCTAACTCCCCCCTAGCCTTAATACTATCCAACCAACCCGCCGCCCTTCGGACGCTTCCGCCGGGCGTGGCGATGCCTTCTCCGGGCCTCGGAGTCCTCAGCCCGCAGCAGCTCGGATTTGGCGGCTTAGCACTTTACTGCTTCCTTGGACCCGTGGCCGTCACGTCACTGGTGCTGTTCGTCGTCGCACTCATCGTCATCGCACTCATCGTCATCGCCTATCGCCTCGTCTTGCACCCCCTGGCGCGCGTGCCCGGACCGAAGATCGCGGCGCTCTCCAACATCTGGTATGCGTACCACGCACGCAATGGGCGCATGCTGGAGTTAGGCAAGACGCTTCACAAGCGATATGGCCCTATGGTGAGGGTTGGGCCGAATGAGGTCTGGTTTGACTCAGTTGACGCGTTCAAGCACATCTACAGTGAGTTCCAACTAGCCAGTTTTTGAGCCATAAACGCCCGTTAATTCGTTTGCCGATAAGGAGCTGGAAGTGGCTATGAGAAATCAGAGTTTTATCGTACGTAGTCTCTTCCACTTTTTCCTCCCTCCCTGATTATTATGACTCGACTTACAGCCAGGCGGCAGTCTCAACCGCCCTTCAGCGGCCGGACATCACGTTTACCCCCTTTCCAACGTTCACGTCCCCAGAGACGTTGGATCTTCTCTCGGAGCGCAACACTGCTCGATACCGGCTGCAACGTCGACTCATCGGGCCCCTCTACCAGACCAATCACCTCAAGCGCCACGAGCCCGCCCTCGATGCGGTGCTGGCGCGCGTCATCTCCACCCTGCGCGCCCTCGACGGCAAAGAGATCGACTTGAAAGAGTGGATGCACATCATCGCCGTCGAGTGCCTCTCCGCCGTCGTCATCTCGTGGTCGCCCAACTACCTCAGGGACGGCACCGACCACAAGTCCAGCAGCCACGGGTACCAGGGCTGGCGCCGCAAGTCCGTCTTCGGCCTGTTCCCCCTGGCCGTCAAGGCCGAGCTCTTTTCGAAGGCCTTCGGCAGGGCGTTTGCCAACCTGTGGCGCGTGACGTACAGGACGCCCAAGAACTTCAAGCCCTTCTTCACGGGCGTGTACCGCCAGGTGTCCCGCCGCATCACGAACTCGCTGACCGGCAAGCCTGTGCCCAAGAACGACCGCAAGGATGACTTCCTCACAGACCTGATCGAGCTGCACAAGGACAAGCCGGATTTCTCGGAGCAGTACCTCCGCCGCATGGCCATCACCAACTTCGGCGCCGGCCACGAGACCATGTGCTCCGCCCTCACGTCCATCATGTCCATGATCGGCTCCCACCCGGACGTCCAGCGGCGGGTATCCAATGAAGTCCGCGCCTCGCCCTCAGATCCGAAGAGCTACGACACCGCGGTGCGTCTCGCATACACCCAGGCCGCCATCAAAGAGGCCCAGCGCCTCTACCCCGTCCTCGGCATGTCGCTGCCCCGAACCGTGCCCCCTGAGGGCTTCACCGCCCACGGCCAGTTCTTCCCGGGCGGGACGACAGTCGGATGCAATCCCGTCTCGCTGCACCGCAACACGTCGATCTTTGGGCCTGACGCGGAGGAATATAATCCGGACCGCTGGCTGGACGAGGAGAGGGACGTCAGGGGTATGGAGCGGTTTAATCTTACATGGGGCGGGGGCGGAAGGATGTGTCCCGGGCGGCACCTGGCTGAGTTGGGTGTGTACAAGACGATACCGGCTTTGATGGAGCACTTCGATGTCGAGGTGACGATGCCGCCGGAGGAGGAGATCGAGTACTACTTCATGGCCATGCTCACAGGCGTGAGGGCTCGTTTCTTGCCGAAGAAGACGGGGTAATGGCGTCATCTCAGCGCAAGTGCGTTTAGGGTAGACGGACACGTAACCTGGCTGCGCGGATTTGAACGCGGCCGGAAGATGATCAATGAGAATCACGACATAGAAGGCCATCATGAGTAATTGGGGATAGATAAAAATTAGATTGGCTCTCGCGGGGCCGTACATGAATGATTCAATGAAGGGCTTTTGCGTGATGCGTGGATTGTATCGAACTGATGTCCCAGATTTTTCGAAACTCCCCTCTTTTCGTCATCCAAGCACTCTGTCTAATCCTTCGTTTTGTCCACCGCCGACAACAGAAACCTCATGTATCCCGCAGCAGCCTCAGCAAGACTGTTCTTATACTGCTCGCTGGTCGGGTAGAACGGGCAACCACCCTCCTTAGCGATGGCGTAGGCTTCGTCCTCCGTCTGACCGAACCTCATTCTGAAGGAGAAGACTTTGGTAGCCGTGGTGTTGACGATGTGGCGGCTGTACGCCCAGTCCGTAGCCGTTCCGGACGCGCTCAGATGCGCTCTAAAGAATTGGTGCAGTGCCCCGAGCGGATTCCGTCTGCCCCCCTGATAGAAACGTCTCCCGGACGCGGCCATCATATGTGTCTCAATATCGAGCCTCAGCTTTAACACGTGTCTCTGGTCTTCTGGGGCCATGTACTCGCCGTAACTGCCTTCAGTGCTGTGCAGCAGGCCGCGCTTGCCGTCGTAAAATTTGTTCCGCCAGTTCATGGATGAGTCATTGCTACTCGTGGTGTCGATATCCCATCGGCCGTCGACGCCGGCGGTTGATTGCGGGCCGGCGCTTACAAAGTAGCCGATTCCTGGGTTGTTTTCGATGACCCATTTGACGTTGCGCGACTCTGCTTCGGAGAAGGGTTCTGTTCCATGGTAGAGCTCGTGAGTTGGTAAATCAGATGCGACTTCCATGGCATCCTTAGAGAAGTAGCGCTTGTAGTCCCAGACGATGTCGAAGTTCCGGTCGATGTTGACGCCGGAGCCGTTGCGGTTATTGCCCCAGCAGTTGTTGTGCCTCTGGTCCCAGACGATACCGTCCGGGTTGACCATCGGGATGGCCATGACGCCCTCTCTGACCACGGCTTCAATCTGTTCGTGGGAGAACGTTACTTGGCCGTAGGTCAACCCCTTCTTGTTCTTGTGGGCGTGAAGCAGGTCGGACAGGAAGTATACGAGACTGTCCGGTCCGCCGCGCTCGCGGCCCTGGAAGCCGGAGGTAAGAAGAACACCGCGCGGGCGATTGGGATCCAAACCAGAAGTATCGTTCTTCTTCGTTTGTATATCATTCTGTCGACCATGCGTCGGGGGGATACTGATGACCACCGTGGTGAAGCCCATGATGCTTTTGTACGGGGCGGCCGTCAGCTTGACGTTGAAGTGGTCTTTCAGGCCGTAAATAGCTGACTCAATTTCTCTGGTGCTGAGGATGGTGGCAAAATGGGGATGCGCAGCGCCCAACGTGGCAGGGCCGGCGGGAGGTTCAGAGCAGTTGGCGAAGCGATCGATTAGGCTCACCGGGGCGAAGTCTGGTAGTAGTTGATATTCGGACTCTGGGACCGAGGCACAGGCTGCCCCGGTCACGCAGAGCATGGAGACGATTTGGTCGTGTGACCTCATGATGAATGATTTTTTGCGCCTGTTCAGTAAGCTACTTGTTTTGCAAATTGTTTTCGACCGTCAGATAGGAGTCCCTCAAGAATTCTATAGCTCTTTAAGCTTAAGGTAATGAGAAAGCTCGTACAGCTGCAAAGCATATTTTCCTTCCTTTTTTTTCATTCCAGTTTACCCTGATGTAACTTAGCTGCACATCGCACCGTTGTGGCTCAACGTCAAGCCGTACATCAAATCTGCAATGTCTCTGCTGAGTTTGAGCCCATGTGGCTCAATTAACTGCAACTCTCATAGGTTAACTAATCATGTGCCGTAGATATTGGATCATGCGTGATGATAAAGAGCTGGACTCAAGTCACGATCCGTAAATTCAACATCAAGAGGGGTATTATTGGCATTATATGCTTCCGTGAGGCGTTTAAACGAGTCATGGTAGCCCGAGATGTCCCATGTTCAACGCATGATCCTGTTACCAGACGTTTTGAGTGCTTTTGTGGCTTTCGCTGCTGCAAGGTGTATTTTCAATCGTTCTTTTACCGCGGCTTCTAACGTCAGCAAATGAAGCATGTCTTGAACTTAAAACAAGCCCAAGAGAAATATCGGAAAAAGGAAATCACCATTTGCACGCCAAGTCAAACGTTCAATATTACATGTGTCTTGGGCGAAACGATTTCAGCATCGATAAGTCCTCCTGCACGATGCTTTGAATTTCCAATTATCTAATCAAGAGGACGAATATTGCCCCACCTAGAAAAGTATGATTATAAGGCTTTAGAGTTCAACGCAACACACTTTATACAGTGAAATTCCAGCCTCAAGCCACTGAATTGGTGACCGAAAACTACATGCCCGTAAACTCATCGATGATAGCGTCACCGTGCGAAAAGCAGTGTGGTAGCACATGGTGCTACTGTATACGTACCTTCAAGTCTGGAGAAATGGTGTCTCCGAAGACCCACTCTGGCCTATCAAATGAATGTGAACCCCAGCTGACCCCACAGCAAGGACTCACCATTCAGACGCATGGAATTCGGTTCGGTGGCACTGGCTTTGGACGGCCTAGCGCAACAATCGTGATTCCATATCCCACCTCGAAGCCAAATTCCCATTTGCAACGTCGCCAGCCCAGCCGAGAGCATCACGAACCAACACCCCCAGCCTCACCACACCACCCAAAGTCGGCGCCGAAGCCGCACCCGCCCACCATGGTTCTCCAAGATCTCGGCCGCCGCATCAACTCGGCCGTCACAAATCTCACAAGAGAGGCCAACCTCGACGAAAAGGTGCGCGCCCTCCTCCCCTTGCCCCGCCGCCGCTGACGGTCGCTGTCGCATTGCCACCAGCGACCCAGCTAGCTAACCACGTCTCGACACCACAGGCTTTCGATGCAATGCTCAAGGAGATCTGCGCCGCCCTTCTCGAGGCCGACGTCAACGTGCGCCTCGTCGGCCAGCTGCGAAAATCGATAAAGTCCACCGTAAACTTCAAAGACCTGCCCCCCGCCGTCAACAAGAAGCGCCTCATCCAAAAGTCCGTCTTTGACGAGCTCGTCAAGCTCGTCGACCCCCACGCCGAGCCCTTCAAGCCCAAGAAGGGCAAGTCAAACATCATCATGTTCGTCGGTCTGCAGGGTGCCGGTAAGACGACGACATGTACGAAGCTCGCCCGCCATTACCAGGCCCGTGGCTTCAAGGCCTGCCTGGTGTGCGCCGATACATTCCGTGCCGGTGCCTTTGACCAGCTGAAGCAGAACGCGACCAAGGCCAAGATCCCATACTACGGCTCCCTGACCGAGACGGACCCCGCGGTGGTCGCCCGAGACGGTGTCGAGAAGTTCAAGAAGGAGAAGTTCGAGGTCATCATCGTCGACACGTCAGGTCGCCACAGGCAAGAGGAGGCTCTGTTCCAGGAGATGGTGGACATCCAGACGGCGATCCGGCCCGACGAGACGATCATGGTGCTCGACGCATCCATCGGCCAGCAGGCCGAGTCCCAGGCGAAGGCGTTCAAGGAGGCGGCAGACTTTGGAGCCATCATCATCACGAAGACGGACGGCCACGCGCACGGCGGTGGCGCCATCTCCGCCGTCGCCGCGACACACACGCCCATCGTCTTCATCGGCACGGGCGAGCACATGCTGGACCTCGAGCGGTTCGCGCCGCAGCAGTTCGTGCAGAAGCTGCTCGGCATGGGCGACATGGCGGGCCTCGTGGAGCACGTGCAGAGCCTGAAGCTGGACCAGAAGGACACGATAAAGCACATCACGGAGGGCATCTTCACGGTGCGCGACCTGCGGGACCAGCTGTCCAACATCATGAAGATGGGCCCGCTGTCCAAGATGGCAGGCATGATCCCGGGCATGAGCGGGATGATGCAGGGCATGGACGACGAGGAGGGCAGCGCGAAGCTGAAGCGCATGATCTACATCTGCGACTCGATGACGGACAAGGAGCTCGACTCGGACGGCAAGCTCTTCATCGAGCAGCCGACGCGGATGACGCGCGTGGCCCACGGCTCGGGGACGTCGGTGCGCGAGGTCGAGGACCTGCTCACGCAGCAGCGGATGATGGCCGGCATGGCGAAGAAGATGGGCGGCAACATGAAGAACATGCAGCGCGCGCAGTCGGCGATGGGCGGCGGCAACAAGGCGCAGCAGCTGGCGGCGATGCAGAAGCGGTTGCAGAGCATGGGCGGCGCCGGAGCCGGTGGCGGTATGGGCGGCATGCCGGATATGGGCAGCCTGATGAAGATGCTCGGCGGTGGAGGCGGCGGCGGCGGTGGCATGCCGAACATGCAGCAGATGCAGCAGATGATGCAGCAGATGGGCATGGGCGGCGGTATGCCTGGTATGGGAGGCATGCCCGGCATGGGCGGTGGCCGCGGAGGAAGACGCTAGATTATTACTGAACCCAACACGATGTTCGCGTAAAGTGTGGTTTTTCGTCGAGAGCGACTTGACAGGAGACATGGATGAAGACATGATATTAGAGTCGCTGAGGGCGACGGGGCCATATTCGGAGCTCTTTCGTATTACATAGGACTGGCGTTTGGCGGAGGGCAATACTATCAGACCCATTGCTGTCGACACTGCATCCTTTCTACTAAGTTTGTCTTGCAAAAACTTCACGACTGGTTGGGTGCTTGCGGCTGGTGATGGTTTCAGGCTTCCAGGGAGCACCCGTATGCTAACAAACTCCTCAACAACTATTGACCAAAGGCAGTCGGCCGTGGCTTTTCTGGGGGTTTCCTTGAAGTTTTGTGCCCTGTGAAAAACAACCCCCATGCGAATGCTCTGCCCAGAGCTGAGAAAACAACCCGGCGGTCACGACCAGGAAGTTGAGGGGGACGGGAGTGACACGACGCGTTTGCCCGGACTTTTACGGGCTCCAGTCCCGCGCAGATCATGGAAACATTTCTCGCTAGCTCGCCATAATCTTGGGCCCTTGGCCTCATCACCAGCCTGTCATCATCTTCATCATGAGCCCAGTGAAGAACAGGGAGCCCGTTTGCAATCGCATCGTAGCAAGGCAGCACCCGATCGACGAGAAGTAAGCAAACATTACGTTGGGCCATGAAATCGAAGAGATAACATGCTACGCGTGAACCAAGTTTTGAAGCCTTTCGGGAAGTGAGGTGCAATTGGCGTGCGGAGACGGTACGGAGCCGGCCGGACATCCGGCTCGGCGCTGGGCGGGGGATGACGTTGGGTGCAGGATCGGGGACGGTGGTGATCATGGGGCGGTGATTGGGCCTGGGGCGGGTTGCGCTGAGATTTGAGACATTGTTCAGGGGAATTCGGGTGGCAGCGACCAGTGAGCTACGACGAATTCGGGCTCTCTGATTGATGTTTCCTTCGATTTTGAGAGTGGCCGTGAAATCAAGGAGCTCGCCTAGGAAACAATGAAGCTGTTTTACACGAATTGCGACTGTACATCATCGTCTAGTCTCGGTTGATACGCTTGTAGAGGGCCGAGCGGGCTTGCGCGGACCGGAGAAATTCAAACTCTGTTTTATCAGATGGAAAGGCCTATTCCCACCAGGCACCATGGCCCTCTTCTTGCCGAGGTGCTGTCTGATTTACGTTCTCACGCGTTATGCCTTGAGCGTGTCTGAATCAATAGGCTCGCCGGTGGCATGAAATTGTTACATTTCAGCCCGCACCAAAGGCTAGTTCTCCTTCGTTGGCACGAACCGCCGTTAATGCTAGACCTTCCCTACGTTAGCACCTTAGGTAGCTGTACGTGATGTTGTCTTAATTAGCGAGAAGCCGTGCACATGGCGCCGGCTGTAGAGGTCGACCATCGCGGCCGATGTTGTGATCTAGCCCTTCGGAGTGTCGTGTTTAGGATTCAAATCCCGTGTAAAATCCACAATGCAGGCCTCGTATCGGCCCAAATGCAGCGCCAAACAAAAAGACACCAACGTCGACATCACCAGTGGAGCAACAAGGCCCACCGACAAAACGCAGCTGCACCTCTGGAGAGCCGCGATATGTCACAAGACGGGGGCGCGTTGGCTGATCGGCGCCACACTGCGAAAAAAGGTGAATCGCAGGCAAAGCCTGGAACGGTTCGGAGCAAAACCTCCCGCCGCCTTGTGCGTGCCGTCGACCATCGAGCCATCGTCCAAGTTCAACAAAATGTTTCGACCGGGGCTTGAGATTCGAGTTATTCGTAGCGCCTCATGGTTTCTCTCGTATGGGCGTGGCTTGCCCTTGTGGCATCATCGAGTCCAGACTTTTCTCGACTGCTGGCCGTCCGGGGTTTTGATTGGCGAAGTCGGGTCTGGAGTGCCGTGACAGGGGGTTGACGACGGGAACGGGCCTAGGTTGTAGCCAAGGATGCCCACGCGTCTGGGGCGGGATGACGTCGATTGGCATATTTCAGACGGTTGAGAGGCGCAAGAGTTTGGTTCTCGTCCTGCACCACCACACCATCATGACCGCACCGGTTCACTCACTGGGCGATTGACTGCGATCTGCCACAGTTCAGCAACCCAACGGCGGC